ATTTTTATTAATTTTTTTTCTTCTTCTTCTCCTTTTTGTCTCCATTTCTCAGTCTCTCATCTCTCCACTTCAATGGCAAGCTCTCTTGGCACTCGTTTTTGTTTGTATGTTTTTGACTCCTGTTCCTCTCTCCTCTTTCCCAAACCCATCTTAGCTCCACACATCACAATCTCCCCCCTTCATCCTGCCTACCTGCACCATGCACTGAACATCACACCCCCAAGTAGCACAGGCATGGCCTACCAGAACCTGCCTTGCACTGATTCCCAGCCCGCCCTGTTGGCCCTAGTACATGCCGCAAACAACCCATCCCAGTAACTCCTCTTCACCTAGACCTGCCCTGCCATGCCATATCTGAGCAACTGACCCTGCTAATTGAAGAAGGAGGCGAAAAGTATCGTGCCCACAGGCAAGCAAACAACAAAGAGCCCACCTGCTCAGACATAACCAAGTAAAACAAAAAATCAGGATGAAACAAACAAATCTACAATCAATAAATGAGGAAAATAACTACCGAATGCCCTGAAGACAGCAGACAATATCAAAACGTTTACAATAACAGGACATGATGGTTCTAGTAGGTGTCCAAAATAAAACACCAGATGACTTTCCAGTAAAAGAAAAGGCACTAGAACTACCTGATATGGAATTAAAATATTTAATATTCAGAGCTATCCAAGAGTTGAAGCAAAAAGCAGACACAAATGAGGAAGATAAAGACAAATTCATGGAAAAGGCAAATTCATGGAAAACATAGACAAAAACTGCAACAATTCAGGAAAATAATGCAGGAACAAAATGCCAAAATAAATTCACAACTAGAAATCATACAAAAACAACAATTAGAAATCCAAAAGATAAACACAAGATTTCAGAAATGGACAGTGTCATAGAAGGACTGAGGAGCAGGTTTGAAATGGTAAAAGACAGGATCAGGGAAATTGAAGACAAACACTTGCATACAACTCTGCGGAAAAATCAGAAAAAAGAATGAAGAAAAATGAAGAGACCCTGAAAATTATGTGGGTTACAATCAAAAGCAAAAATATGCGAGTGATCAGAGTTCCAGAACAGGGGGAGAAAACAAAAAACACAGAGAGGATCACTGAAGAATTGCTGACAGAAAACTTCCCCAATATCATGAAAGATGAAAAGCTGGCCATCCAAGAAGCTCAACAAACCCCATACAGGATAGACCCCAAAAGAAAATCACCAAGGCATATCATAATCACACTTGCCAAAACCAAAGACAAAGAATCCTGAGAGCAGCTCAAGAAAAACAAAAAGTCACATACAGAGGAGAAACAATAAGACTAAACTCAGATTATTTGGCAAAAACCATGCAGGCAAGAAGGCAATGGGATGACATATATAAAACCTTGAAAGAAAAAACTGCCAGCCAAGAATAATATATCCTGCAAAACTCTCCTTCAAATATGGTGGTGAAATTAAGACATTTCCAGATAAACAGAAATTAAGGGAATATGTAAAAACCAAACCAAACTTACAAGAATTATTAAAGGGAGTCCTTTGATCTGAGAACAAAAACATCAGCTCACAGGCTGAATCTAGGAAGCAGGATCATACCATCCAGATACCAATCTAGGAAATGAACTCTCAAGGACTATCCAAAACCAAAAGAAATACAACAAGGAATCAGAGAAGTTAATCTATAAATGACAACAACATCAGAACAACAGAAGAGGGAATAAATTGTGTAGGTATAGAACCTTCTAATGGAGAGGAAGGCAAGGTGATACCAAGTAATAATAGACTGCTTCAAGGTAAACACAAAGAAAGTTAACAAACCTACTCATCAAAATAAAGAGAAAACAAACAAAACCTACAAAAACAAAAGAAATTAAAAAAAAATCCACACACAAAAGGAATTCAGCACAGAAGAGTAAGAGGAACAAAGAAAACCTACAAAAACAAAACAAATTAAAAAAAAATCCACACACAAAAGGAATTCAGCACAGAAGAGTAAGAGGAACAAAGAAAACGTCAGCACCACCAAAAAAAGTACTACAAAATGACAGCAATAAACTCACACGTATCTATAATTACACTGAATGTAAATGGAGATTCATCAACATTTCTGATAAAATGCCAAGAAACTAAAATGAGTTTAAGAGTTCTTTCTGGGAACTTTGTCCAATTGATTATCAATTTTGGATGCAGAAGACATTCAGGTGGCTAATGGAAACATGAGGAAATGCTTGCCATCACTAGCCATTAAACTCCATTGCCATTGAGTCATTTCTGACTCACAGCGACTAGCCATCAGAGAAATGGAAATCAAAATTTTGGATGGAGCCAAATAGCCTTGAATAATTTTCCCAAGAAATCTAATTGTCTTTACCCAAATGTTACGGGTTGATTTGTGTCCCCCCAAAACATATGTTCATGTCCTAACCACCAGTACCTGTGAGTGTGAACTTACTTGTAAATAGGGTCTTTGGAGAATTAACACAAGATCATACCTGAGTAGGCTAAGTGAGTCCTAATCCAATGACTGGTGTTCTTATAAAAAGAGGACAAGAGACAGACACACAGGTAGGAGGCAATGTGAAGATGGAGGCAGAGACTGTTATTATCCTACCACAGTCAAGTAATGCCTGGCAACACCAAAAGCTCGAAGAGTCAAGGAAGGATTCCTCCCCCATAGTCTTCAGAGAGAGCATGGCCCTGTCTACATCTTGATTTTGGACTTCTAGCCTCCAGAACAATGAGATAATAGATTTCTGATGTTTTAAGCCACCCAGTGTGGTACTTTGTTATGACAGCCCTAGGAAACTAACACGAGACAATCCCTTCTTGTATTCAGTTTAACAATGATGATCAATGCCTCCATCAAGACAGATATATTTGGTTTACATATAAACTTGTCTCTTGAGATAAGCTTGAAATAAACCTTCAACACATGCTCATAAACAAATTGTGGGTGAGACTTAAGCAAAATATAGGACTAAATGAAAATTTTAAAAAATGAGTCTATGTACATTTAAAAAAAAAAAAAAAATTGGGTACCCAGTTACACAGGAAGTGAAAAATTGGGTTTCCACGGCCTGGATAAAAAAACCCAAAAACTCGTTGCCCTCAAGTGGATTCCAATTCATGGGGACCCTGTAGGACAGAGCAGAACTGCCTCCATAGCGTTTTCAAGAGTGCCTGGTAGATTCTAACTACCGACCTTCTGGTTAGCAGCCTAACTCTTGACCACTATGCTACCAGGTTTTCCACTTGTAGCATATGCAAGTTAGAATCTGGGATAAGGTTTCGAAAACTCTAATGAATCAATGAGACTCAAATGGTTATGTCCTACCAACCTAAATTTTAAGGTTTAGGTATGCTGGAGGACTTGATTTGTTGGGGGCATGCCATACAATGGATCACTTTTGTGTGGCCTTTTTAGCATGGTCTTGTAACTCCCACTCAAAGGATTGGGTGGGACTGTGTGAAAGGGTAATTGTGGCCCACTAAAGGGATTAGTCAGTTTTGCCATTCCCCTGGGCTTGAGATGAGCAACTTCAAAAGCAGGAAAGAGAGGATCCCACCACCACCAAGGAAGAATAGCCAGGAGCAGAGAGCTTGTTCTTTGGACCTAGGATGCGTGCGTTAAGAATCTTCTGGACCCAGGAAAGAGAGAGCCAGCTGTAACCATGAAGATGAGACGCAGTGGCAGAGAAGCGGTGGCAGGAGACCTCGGTGGGCTTCCTGGCCCATGGAGCCAGAAAGCTGAGTGCCTCTGGGCAGAGGTGGATGGGCAAGGAGAGGTGTGCCTGCAAGCACTGCTGGGAAGAGGGTGTCCTGATGGAAGAAAAGTATCCTGATGGTTCCTGAACCTGAATTGTAACCTGTTACTTCCCTAATAAACCCTATAATCATGAAAAAAAGAGAAAGTTTGATCAAGATTGCCAAATTGCCCTAAACCGACCTGTTGCTGTCAATTCTGATCAATAGAGACCCTATAGAACAGAGTAGGACTGCCCTATATGGTTTCCAAGGAACGTCTGGTGGATTTGAACTGCCGGTCTTTTGGTTAGCAGCCAAGCTCTTAACCACTGTGCCACCAGGGCTCCAAATTGCCCTAAAGGGTGTAACCATTTTCAGTTTCATCAGCAGGGTATAAAAATGCCTGTTGTACTTATTCAATGATCCTCTCCTCATTGACTTATGATCTTTATAACATTTTAAGTCCTCATATGTATGTACTGAAGTCTGTTTCTAGGCTAGTCTGCTCCAATGATCTGCCTACTTGTGCATTTAATCTAGTTTTGTATTGCTTTTTTAACTAGTTAATCTGCCATTCAGTTGATTTTGACTCAGAGCAAGCCCGTGACAGAGAAGAACTGCCCCATAGAGTTTTCTTGACTGTAATCTCTACGGAGGCACATTGCTAGGTCTTTCTCCCATGGAGCCGCTGGATGGGTTTGAATCACCAAGCTTTTGGTCAGCAGTTGACTGCTTATCTGTTGTGCCAGGGCTCCTCAGTTTTATATTACCTTTTCAAAAATCCCTTAGCATTATCACCTGCTTATTTCTCCAAGAGAACTGTAATTTACTATACCCTTTCCCAAAACAGAAATTTTAATAATAGCAATATTCATCATGTGAAGGTAAGTCTTCATTTTCCTGGGATTTCAAGGTATACAACTATTGTTACATATATATAAAAATTTCGCCACTTTATTTCTAAAAGACCTTCCTCTTGTTTCATGCTTTTTTGCACTGGCAAAAATTTCCAGGATATTAATAATCCTGATAATGGAAATTTTAGATTTTAATAGGAATGTCTAATGCTTCACTATTAGGTTGCAACAATTAACTATTTATAACTCCCTACAGGTAAAACATTGTCCCTTGCCTCAATTCCTTTGTAAAGGCTGTTCTTGCCCAATTTAAGTTCCTCTGTTCTGTATTCTCATAGCAACTTGACAGCAACGGGTTTTTTTGTTTTTTACTCTGTGTTCTGTCACAATCTGTGCATAGCTTTATCACAGCACTTTTTGTATCTGTTTCCTTTACTGAACTGTAGGCTCTTTAAAGGAAGATACCACCATTTATTATGTTTTATATCTCAAAAAAAAAAAGGAAAAAAGTACAGTGCCTCGCCAACTGCCTCAATGCACAACTCCAGGGATACAAGGATACCATTCACATAGATTTCATGTGAAAGGCAGCTCCCAGAGCACAGACAGGATGTGAATAGTGCCCCCTTAGAAATGTGCAATGTGGTGGCTGTAGTACACAGCACACAGTAAGTGCTTAATAAATGTGTTCTCAACTACCAGTGACAAGCTCTGATTGTCAAAGCACCTACAACCTCAAATAATGGATTGCATTCCTGAATATTATGCTCATGGATGAGTTTATTTTCTAACTGACAATTTACGCTAGGTGAAACAGTCTCCAAACTAATATCTACATGGAACACTTATTACTTACTCATGTGGCTGAAAAAGTGAATTAATTATGTTCTGTAAACTTTTCAAAGAAAGAAGTCTGGGGAAAAAAAAGACCTATGTAGTGCTCAAACTATACTTTTAAAAATACTATTTTATTTATACTCATGTATGAAAAAAGGCTGTATTATCACGTTTACATACATACCAATATTGGAAACAGCTTGATAATGAATCATATCTAAATTTTATAAAGAACATTGTAACACTGATTGATTGGTTATAGACAGTAGAGTGGAGGGAAATCATTAGCTATAATTTGAATTTTAGGTAAAGAACAGCACCCTCTGAGAAGAATCAAATCAATTAGTAATAGTCATCTATACTGTAAAATAATATATAGGAAAGTTAGTGATTGTACTGATTTTATTACTTTTTGCTAAGCCATTTTATTTTCCTCACATTCAATGCAAAGAAATAAAACATAATATGAAGAAAAATATGTCCTCAATATTATTCACAATAAAAAGGGTCTGCTTCATTTTGCAGGCCTAGGTATATTTTACAATAGGGAGCACTTAATGGTTCAAGTAGATCAATGTACCATTTGGATTCTGATCCACTGAAGAGAACCTCATCCATACCTGGTGACTGAATTAACTCCATGGGAGCTGTGATAGACTGAACCATTTTTGTGGTATTCCCAGATCTCACTAAATAAAGAAAAGACCATAAACAAGGAACTTTACCAATCAATCTGTCCAGAAATTATATCTACAGGCTCTTTCTTTAGTATAAGATGGAAAAGCAGGCCCTTTCTTGAGTATACAGATACAAGTACTACTGTGGTCTAGAGATTGCTAAATTGATACTGTGTCTGGTATAATGAAGATACACATCGAGACCACAGTCAGATTAAGAAACTTCCACAACTTGTCTTAATTCTTCAAATAATGGAGCAAGTTCCTTTTCTAGGCTGACAATTAGTCCTAAAACAAAGAGATTAAGAAAATGAGAAAAGTTAGAAAAATGTTCCTGAAAAACTCTTCAAATTAAATCCCTTCTTGTTCAAAATTTATAGTTACTAAAAAGTATATGAGACATAGTTCATTCCCCATACCTAAAACAAAACACTGTAATTCTAAAAACGTAATCAAGAAAGTCATATTATGAAATTTGTTTTTATCATTATTAAAGAAGACAGATGAAAAATACTTGTGCATTAGAAGATACAGAATGAACTATACTCACTATAATTTTGTTAAAGAATTTTGAAAGGAAAAACCTTGATTTCTACCTTACTGTTTTAAAATGTGTATTGATTCAGAAATAATACACATGACTTTTACTCAAGAAGGTATACTTTTTTTTTCCTGAGCAAATTTTAAGGGACTATCAAAAGCTAGACAGGTAGGCTGCTTTGATTTTGAGCACAAAAATAATCAGAAATTTATAAATTCAACAAAGACAAGGCATAGATAGATATTTTAAATGAAAAAAATAATTTTAAAGCTGAATGGTAGGAGCATAAAACACACACTCAAATTTTTAAAAAGAATTTCAATGATAAATCTGGAAGACAAATTATTTTTGAAATTAGAAGATCCAGCTTCTCTTTACCAGAGTGAAAGGCTATACATCTTAGTGCCTTGCTTCACGTTCAAACAAATGAAGATTCTTCCTCTGTCTCACAGGAAAATATTAAAAGTGCCTGGGATTCTCAGGGCCAGGCTCTAAATACAGCACTAAAATATCACTCTATGTATAAACACAATTTCTAACAACTGATGACCTAGTATGTTGGAGTTTGGTGATTTATCACAACTGGATTTTAATACACTTACACAATATTAACGCTACCACTATCCTATGTAATTTACAAAGTGTTTTCACATATAGTGTTTTAGATATTCAAAAAGTTTAGAAATGGAAGAGAACTAACAGGTCATCAAATCTAAACTCCTCATTTTAAAGATGAGGAACTGGAGGACAGGCTTCAGTGATCTAGCTAGGATTAGAATTTGTTCAAACTGCTTGGAATGGAAAAAAAAAAGTGTATAACAATTCTAAACAGCAGTCAAATCTTAGGAGACAGAGCTTAAAATAAATTCCACTTAAACCAACAAGGAGTAAACAATTACAACTCAGCTGAATACTGTCACAATGTTACACATAAATATCCAGTGTTGGGTATGATACATAATGGGATTTTACTATCCTCTATATAAAGTTTCCTAGTGTTTGTTCTCAAATTCTTCAGCCCTTAAGAAGGGTGCGATCACCAAAACCACAGTAAAATATTATAAAAAGAAAATCAAAAGCAAACTAAAAAAACAAAAGAGTTGTGAGGTGTTCCTCCTACACACACTCTTTAAAACTAAATTCTCAATCAATTCATCTTGTCTGCTGTCTTTCAAGATTTAAAAATTCTAATTTAAAAGATTGGTCTATCTGAAGTTCCCCGGTTACAAACAGGCTCCGTTCCTTACTGTGTCTTTAAGTCAAAGTTGTTAAGTCAGAACAGGTGCATACAGTTCTTATCTAGCCTTACTTTAGTGCAAGAAAAGGCTCGAAGTGTTTTCAATAATTTAAAAGCTGCACGTGCAGCAAGTGAAGGTGACTGTGATGAAAAATTTGTCCTTAAGTCAGATGTTCATAACCCAGGGACATACTGTCCAAGGAATTGAACTCACCTTTAATAATTGTTTTCTCAAACTGTGGTTAACGTGAGCCAGATGTAGCACTCAAGAGTTGAAGATTGTTGTTGCTGTTGTGAGGTGCTGTCATTTCTGACTCACAGCGACCCTATGTAAAACAGAACAAAACACTGCCCGGTCCTGGGCAATCCTCACAATTGTTGCTATGTTTGAGCTTATTGCTGCAGCCACTGTGTCAATCCATCTCGTTGAAAGTCTTCCTTTTATCGCTGGCCCTCTACTTTACCAAGCATGATGTCCTTCTCCAGGGATTGGTCCCTCCTGATAAAAAGTCCAAAGTACATGAGATGAAGTCTCACCATGCTTGCTTCTAAGGAGCATTCTGGCTGTACTTCTTCCAAGACAGATTTGTTTGTTCTACTAGCACCTCATGGTATATTCAATATTCTTTGCCAACATAATTCAAAGCCATCAATTCTTCTCTGGTCTTCCTTAGTCATTGTCCAGCTTTCACATGCATATGAGGGAGACTGAAAATACCATGGCTTAGGTCAGGAGCACCTTAGTCATCAAAGTGACGTCTTTGCTTTTTAACACTTTAAAAAGGTCTTTTGCAGCAGATTTGCCCAGTGAAATACAGCATTTGTTTTCTTGACTACTGTTTCCATGGGTGTTGATTGCAGATCCAAGTAAAATGAAATCCTTGACAACTTCAGTCTTTTCTCCATTTATCATGATGTTGCTTACTGGTCCAGTTGTGAGGATTTTTGTTTTCTTGACATTGAGGTGTACTCTCCACTGAAGGCTGTAGTCTTTGATTTTCATCAATTAATGCTCCAAGTCCTCTTCTCTTTCAGCAAGCAAGGTTGTGTCATCTGCATATCACAGGCTGTTGATGAGTCTTCCTCCAAACCTGCAGCCACGTTCTTCCTCATGTAGTCCAGCTTCTCAGATTGCTCAGCATATAGACTAAGTATGGTGAAAAGACACAACCCTGAAGCACACTTTTCCTGATTTTAATTCATGCAGTATCCCCTCGCAAAATTTTACTCGCATGTGATATTAATGATGTTGTTTGATAATTTTTACATTCTGCTGGATCACTTTTGGAATGGCCACAAATATGGATCTCTTCCAGTCTGTTGGCCAAGTAGCTGTCTTCCCAATTTCTTGGCATAGATGAGTGAGCACCTCCAGTGCTGCACTCATTTGTTGAAACAGCTCAATTGGTATTCCACCAATTCCTGGAGCCTTGTTTTTCATCACTGCCTTCAGTGCAGACTGGGTTTCTTCCTTCAATAACCATCGGTTCTTGATCATATGCTACCTCCTGAAATGATTGAACATCAAATAATTCCTTTTGGTACAGTGGTTCAATATATTCCTTCCATCTTCTTTCGATGCTTCCTGCATCATTCAATATTATGCCCACAAAATCCTTCAATACTACAACTCAAGACTTGTATTTTCTCTTCAGTTCTTTCAGCTTGAGAAATGCTGACAATGTTCTTTCCTTTGGTTTTCTAACTCCAGGTTTCTGCACGTGTCATTAATACTTTCCTTAGTCTTCTTGAGCTGCCCTTTGAAATCTTCTGTTCAGCTCTTTTACTTAACTTCTTCCTTTTGCTTTAGCTACTCCATTCACGAGCAAGTTCAGAGTCTCTTCTAACATCCATTTTGGTCTTTTCTTTATTTCCCGTCTTTTCAATGACCTTTTGCTTTCTTCATGTATGATGTATTTGATGTTATCCCACAACTCGTCTGGTCTTGGTTGATAGTGTTCAGTGTGTCAACTCTATTCCTGAAATGGTCTTTAAATTCAAGTGGGATATACTCAAGGTCATATTTTTGCTCTCATGGACTTGCTCTAATTTTCTTCAGCTTCAACTTGAACTTGCATATGAGCTACTGATGGTCTGTTCCATAGTTGGCCCCTGGCCTTGTCCTGACTAATTATATTGAGCTTCTCCATCGACTCTTTCCACAGATACAGTTGATTTGATTCTTGTGTATTCCATCCAGCGAGGCCCACATGCATAGTCAACGTTTACACTGAAAAAGGGTACTTGCAATGAAGTTGTTAGTCTTGCAAAATTCTAACATGTGACCTCTGGCATCATTTCTATCACTAAGGCCATATTTTCCATATGATCCTTTGTTACCAACTTTCGCATTCCAATCACTAGTAATTATCAATGTATCTTGAGTGCATTTATCAATTTCAGACTGCAGAAGTTCATAAAAATCTTCAATTTCTTCATGTTTGTTTGGTGCGTAAATGTGAGTAACAGTAGTATTAACTGGTCTTCCTTGTAGGCATATGGATATTATCCTATCACTGACAGCACTGTACTTCAAGACAGATCTTGAAATGTTCTTTTTAACAATGAACGCAACACTATTCGTCATTTTTGGCATAACAGACCATACGACTGTCTGACTGAAAATGGACAGGACCAGCCCAGTTCAGCTCACTAATGCCTAGAATACCGGTATCTTTTTGTGTTTCATTTTTGACAACTTCCAATTTTCCTAGATTCACACTTCTTGCATCCCACGTTCTGATTATTAATGGATGTTTACAGCTGTTTCTTCTCATTCTGAGTTGTGCCATATCAGCAATGAAGGTCCTGAAAGCTGTACTCCACCCACACCATTAAGGTTGACTCTACTTTGAGAAGGTAGCTCTTCCTCAGTCGTATTTTCAGTGCCTTCTAACCTAAGGGGCTCATCTTCCAGCACTATATCAGACAATGTTCCGCTGCTATTTATAAGGTTTTCACTGGCCAAAGATGAGACAGCATCTAATTTTCTTTTCTATTAAAAATAAATCACCTTCCCTTACAGTCACCATTGAATAGAAAATAACCTCATAACATGCAGAAAGCATATATTAGCTCCAACAGATAGATAGCCAAACTAGGACTCGAAGTTAATTCACTTTCCTTGAAAACAAGGAAAAAAGACAGTGGAGCTTGTCGTGAATTTTTGTTTTCTAACTCTGAATCTACTATTCCTGTTAGACTGCTCAGATATGGTAATATAAAGAATTAAAAGTTGTATTTAAGGTAATTAAAACATACCTGTATTGGCATTGCTGCTGGCTATGAAACTCACCACTAAAGGTAAACGATTAAACTGAACCACCTAAAAAGGAAATAAAATCTGTTATATATTGTGTTTTAAAAAACTTGTATAACTAAAATATCTTAATCTTTAAAGTTTTAAAAAGGTTGATGTGTAAGATATTAGCCTAACATGAAGCATGGAAAAGAGGAAAGTATTTCCAAAAAACAGAAAACTAATTATCTCTTTGTGAAATGGGAGTAGTCTAGTAGCATCAAAACCTAACTTTAGTAAGGATAATGAGAATTAAGATCAGCTTAAAGCTGATTTCCATGAGGTGGAGGTCGGACACACCTCCATTCCCCAACCTTTTTACCAATTCTGACACCAGCTGTCCTCCTCACAGCACTCTCTACTTCTCTGCTGGGTTCAATAATGCATTGCAATGGCCACACAGAACTCAGAGCCATATTTACAGTTCAGTGGTTTATTAAGGAAGTAACAGGGTACGACTCAGGATCAGGATCAACAGGCTACAACCCAGTATCAAGATCACAATTAGGATCAGGAAGCACGTAGGCAAAGTGTGGAAGGTTCCTCCAAAGTGGAGAGCATATACCTCCCTTCTTCAGTGCAGGGCAGCTCTCAGCTCCTCTTGGTCATGCAATCAAACGGGTCCTTCTTTCTTGCTGTGTGTGCCACCTCTCAGCCATGCAGGCCTCCTATCAGCCCCAAGGACAGGCCTCTCTGCCTTCAGCCCCCCTGCCTTCTGCCTCTCCACTGCTAACTGACCCTGCTCATAAGCCAGCATAGCAGTTCTGATCAACCCTCTTAGCTGCATTTCTAACAGCAAGTTTCTACCATCACCAACTTTGCTGCAGGGCCCCTTCTCGGCCTCTCGGTGTCTTCAGTGTTACAGCCACTGACCCATGCTATAGCTCTTTTCGGCTTCTCAACTCTTCTCTGTGCATCTTGCCTCTTTTCTTGTCTCTCAGTCTTTCTTCTTTCTTCTTCTATCTGCCAACCTCTGTGGGGCTGGCAGCATATATAAGCAAACTGTTGGTCAATTTCAAAGCACGGCCCTCCCACCAGGGCCATGAACTGAGCAATCCCCTCTCAGGAGGGCACAGACACTTCATTTGCTTAAGTATACTGACCAATCCCTGCAAGGTGTGTAAAACAGACCAATCACAGGGCAAGCTGCAGCCCAGGGCCAGACAAAAAGTACCAAACCACAGGTTGTTTACAGTTTACCCAGGAAATGTTAATCAACCTGGACAAACGAAAGAAACCCTCTGGGACAGAAAACTAGCACAAAGGGAAAAAAAATCTCTCAAGCTGTTTTTTCGAAGAACCAAGTCAAAAGGCCACATAAAGGAACTCATTTCACCACACTGTCAGAGACATTAACACCATGGAAGCCTGAAAGCTTTCTAAGGTAAGCCTAGTTTTCTTCATCTTTTTATCTCTAAAGCCCAGCAGAGTGTCAATTACATAGTAGGGGCTCAATAAATATTTGGATAATTAAATTGCTAAAAGCAGTATTTTCTAGTCATTCAAGAGGTTGTATCTTTGTCATTTTTTTCTGCCACATTTGTACCACTGTGCTAATAGTATACATATATTTTAAAATTAACTACAAATCAACTACTTTTTCAAAAAATTCAGCTTCAACTTAAGTAGTATCTGGGAAATTAAAAGTCAGATGTATTGGTTATTTTTTTTGCTAATACACTTTAAAATACGTAAGTTTTAAAATAAAAAATTATTACTTGTATATCATCAGTAGGACATGAATTATACTCTAGGAAACACTGCTCTAAAGCAGAAGGGATTAATTTACTCTAAAGAAGAAAATGCAGCTGGAGATCAACAGATATGTAACAATTTCTTCCCTAAAAATAATATCCTCATTTAACATATGTACATTTCAAACCAAATGAAGGAATAAGCAGCAACAGCAAATTTAAAGGACTTGTCATTTGACTTTCAATGGAAAAGTTTTATCTGCCACAAAAACAAAGAAGTATGTCATTTGAGAAATCATAGCTGTTTAGCTAAGGGCACCATCTACTGGAGGTAAAAGTGACCTGACTTATCCTTCTTAGGATAAGATATACTTTATTATTAAATCTTTTAAAATACTTTTCCATGTTAATTATCTCCAGCTGTAAATTCTGAAGAAAATTACTACAGTTTAACTTAACTGGTTTGAAGGCTAAGAATTAAAACTCCACCTCCTCCAAAATTGAAATTTAGCATAATAACACAAGCCATTTTATACAGAAGGTAAAACAAAGATGGTTAAAATCAGCAAACAATTCAGTATTTATTAACTTACCTGGTAAGTGTTATAGTAACAGATAATACTTTTGTTTTTTGAGAGTCCAAGTTTGCTGCCTTGGTCCGTTGCAAGGGCAAAGGTAGATAAGAAACCAGGTCTCAAAGCATGCTCTGGAGCATTATCATTGGCCACTGGAAAATGATTTAAATAAAAATTAAGCAGAGGATACGGTAGGTAGAAGATTCATAGCCTTTTTTTTTTCCCCTCCATAAACCCATGAAAAATTGAGCACAAAGGTTTTGTGTCACAATACTTAAAATGTCATTAATTAGGTCTCCTCAATTTAGGTGGGAAAAATTGCTCAGTCAGAAGTTCAGTAACTATAATTAAGGGAAGAAATGCTGACTCTCACAATTTGTTTTAAAAATAATTAATACTAAATGTTTAAATGTTCTTGACATTTACTTTAAGCACAGATTAATCAGTACATTTAATAAACTGAATATTCTGGTTAACTGAAAGCCAAGCTAGAATAAAATTATGAAAAAAGCTACAGAGATCTCTGCTCTCATGAAACCCACAGCAGTATTTTTCATAGATACGAAAAAATCCTGTGGCTGACTATCTGCTTTAAGTTTCTCTCATTCAGGGTTTTAACACAGAGATCCTAAGAAAGAATGTTAAAAAACCAAAACAAAACCCACGGCCATCGAGTTGATTCTGACCCATAGCGACCCTATAACACAGAACAGAACTGCCCCATAGGGTTTCCAAGGCTGTAATCTTTACAAAAGCAGACTGCCACATCTTTCTCCCACAGAGCAGTTGGTAGGTTCAAACAGCTGACCTTTTGGTTAGCAGCCGAGGGCTTAACCATGCACCACTAGGGCTTGTTAGAAAAAATGTTAGAGCTAGAAAATCTCTTCGAGATTATTTTGCTCAAGCTCTCATTACAGAACCAAGAAAAGTCAAGCGACTTATCCACAATCACTCATATGTTTTATGGTGGGTTAGAAAGCACATTGGACCACATGACACTAGGAGATGATGAGCTTTAATACTATCTCAGCACTGACTCATGTACAACTTTGGAATGGCAATGAAGATTCTTTGCACTTGAACATCTTCATTTATAAAATGAAAGAACTAAGTTAGGCAACCTCTAAAGTTCCTTTCAATTTTAAAGTCTAAAATTATCCAACTCATGTGATAGCCAGGTGGAAAATAAATTGTAAACAAAGGGTGCAGAATATTATTTAATCTTTGGTAAAGCTATTACAGTGTGTCATATAACTGCCTTAAAACTATGAACATCCATTTTGATTGTGTCATATCATAGAAATAATTAGTAAAAATGGACTGAATTCACACTGACTAGTTCAGTGACATTGTGTATACTTAAAAAATGCTGGAAATTTGGCCAATAATTCTTGTTAGACTCTGATTAAAATTAATGTTAAATGTGAAAACTTAAAAAGAGAATAGTATTTCTGGTAAGAAAGCCGAAAATCAAGAAAGATTAAATAAATCAATATATGATGATTCAAACATATAGATGTTTATCCTGAAACTACTAGCAATTGTTAAAAAATATAAATGAGGAGGTGTGTCTGTGTGTACATATATCTAGTGGTATACATGCAGTCTTATCAGATTTATTAATGTTTTGTATTATACCACAAACGTCATTAATAGGAAACTGTACCTGTGATAAATCCATGCTTAAACTCTGTATGTTAACACGACACTTGACATGTAATAAATTACAGGTTCCAATCCAGTCCTCAACATACAAAAGCAAACATTAAGGCTATGTGTGCTGAACTTATTGAAATGGGTTTTATATGCTTCCTTCTTCACTACTCAGATAGAATTACACACATTTTCAGTCAAAAGCAAACATGACATTTGTAATTAAGTGCTTAGTTTTACCTTTAATAACAGGTACTCCATCTCTATCGGACACAACAATAGCATGGAGTCCTTCAACACTAGAAAGGAAAAAAAAAAAATTATAAAACATTTGATTTTCTCATAATATGCGCCTCAAAGTAGTAATGGTAATTTTCATTATGTTTCTGGGGAAAAAAAAAAAAACACGGGAACTCAATGTGTCTGCCAAAACTCTATGTGTCCGCCAAAACTCTTTCAGAAACTGAATGAATGTTTAATCAAGATGTATGTACAGTTTATTAATGAAGACCTAAAATATAGCTAATTCTTCACTAAACTTAATGCATTAATATTCCATGGTATAAAAAAGTATGGAAGGTCACCAGCAGTGATTACAATGACAAAAAGAGAGCCATTTTTTTTTCTCATTCATTCCACTATCGAGTGCCCAGATTGATGGCACTTAACACTTCTAATACTATGAAAAGCAAAAATAGACAGCTGCTGCCTGTACAAAGCTAAAAGGTGAGTAGACATCAACCAAATAATCTCATAACACAAATACAAAAAGTGCAACTGTGGAAAGTGCTGTTAAAAGGTCTAAGGGGATATGAGATTCTATAAAAGAGGCGGCTGGTGTAGGCAGGTAGGTTAGAGAAAGTTTCCCTGTGAAAGTGACACCTCAGCTGAGATGTTATGGCACTGAGTAAGAGAAGAGGGTTTGAGGAAAGATCACTCTAGGCCAAACGAACAGGGAAAAAAAGAATGAAGGCCAAACAGCAATCCTTTCAGCCATGCCTACATAAGGAATAAACAGAATGGCCAAGTGCATACATAGCTTTAAAGTTAGGAAGACCTGGGTTCTGGTCCACCATTTACAATTTATGCTACCTTGGGCCAGTTACAAAACCTCTCGAAGCTTCAGTTTAACAGTGTGAAAATGGAGATAACTGTGTAGTTATCTTATTTGGTTACTGTAAAATTGAAATAAAATAATGCCTGTAAAGCACAGGCTTATATCCAGTTAACTTTCAAAAGTAGTAATTATCATTAATTACCATCAGTGGTGTCATAATCTGTATACAAGGACAATGACATAATTTATTACTGTAAATTAAGTACTAAAATATCAGTGAAAATCCCTGGGAAATTAGCAGTTCAGAAATATATACTCTATATGTTCCCCGGACACCCTTTTAGCTCAGTAATGAAGTCAGTCCTGACGTTCACCCTTCAGCCAAAGATCAGACAGGCCCATAAAACACAACAAGACTAAAGGGGTACCAACCCAGGGGCAAGGACTAGAAGGCAGGAGAGGACAGGAAAGCTGGTAATAGGGAACCCAAGGTTGAGAAGGGAGAGTGTTGACATGTCAGGGGGTTGTTAACCAATGTCATAAAACAGTATGTTTACTGTTTAATGAGAAGCTAGTTTGTTGTATAAACCATCATCTGAAGTACAATAAAAAAAAGTATGTATATATATCTATATCTACATATACTCTAGAGCACAGTGTTAAAAATTATGAGGAAATATTCCCAAACTTTCAACATTTACACAAAACCTACAGCCCCATAACTATCTCGTAATATTTGTAAACAGCAACTCAGAAATATGTTCAATGTTGCTACTAACAGAATTATCCATTCATCATTGTGTTAAACTGAATGCTTTAATTTATAAGTGAGTAATAGTCACATTAACCTAATGTTAAAATACTGAAATTAAAGTCACATTATCAAAAACTTTAAAGTTAGAGGTGTTATTAAAATTTGAGAGGAAAAATGTTACAAACAAAATAACTTTATCTTCCCCACAAAATGTATTTATTATATATTGAGTAGCTCTAATGTTGATCAAAAAAAAAAAAAAAGTTGAAAAGTACTTGTTTCTTTGAATTCTGACAACTTTCATCTTTCAACCAGTGGAAAAAATCAGATAGTGGTGCTCATCCAAGAGATAAACACAATGAAGGACATTTGCAAAAACAATGAAAATCTTTCCATAATGCAAAGAGAGATTAGTATTATCCGTTATTTTAACGATGACTAAGGGCAGTTTGATTCAACTTCATAATCATTTCTTGAAAGTAGGCTTGTTGCATCCCAACAGCTAAGAGCATACAGAAATAATACTGGGATTACTTACAAGTAGTACAATGTACATTTCAATTTGCTGTCAGATGGATGTAAAATTAAGAGATTTGGACGCAGGTAGCCTGGCTTCAGGGTCCATACTTTAACTGTTGTGTCATGATGCCTCTCAACAATCAAGACAGCCAGTTACTTATTAAAGGAGTGTATGATTTTTATGTTTTAATTCTCTGTTAAATATCGTTCTTGGAATCTGTACTTCAAAATCTGGTTTAGACCCAAATCTCAGGATTTAAAACTTACAACTTTTTGTGTTTTAAAATATTTTATCATTGAATGACTAAAGCCAAACATGATGCCTTTGGTTGCTAATGAAACACTTGTGTTTTAGAATAAAAACGGTTGCTTTAGCAAGTTTAAGGTTTAGATTTCTACAGATTATTTTATAAAGTTTATTCTTTCTAAAAGGGTAGTAAATTTATTAACTCATCACAGTTTTTATTTACTAGTAAAATCTATTCATGTTACTTTTGCGTATTACATGTAGAACTGGAAAGGCCTTTTAAAATTGTGACCTGATTTCCTTAAGTGGGCACTTCAAATGTGTAAGAAATTTTTCTACTTTGTTGGAGTTTCATGTCCACGAATTTGAAATCTATTAAAAATAAAGTCCTTTTATTTCTACCTCCTCTTTTGGTACCGTTAGTAGGTATTTAGAAATTACCAATGAAATATGAAAAAAGAAGCTACTAGCATGGTAGTGCACACTTTTTAAACATGTTTGTAGTATTCTTTTTATCTGCTTTTTGTTTATTTTTTGAACAGGTAATAAACACAGCATGTTATTGACTGAATTGTGCCCATCAAAAACATATATTGTAAATCCTAATCCCTATACTTGTGGATGTAACCCCATTTTGGAATAGGACTTTCTCTTATGTAATGAGACCACATCAGTGTAGGGTGTGTCTTAAGCCAATCACTTTTGAGATATAAAAAGATCAGTTCAGGCACAGAGACCAGGAGCTCTGGTGAACCAATGGTTAAGTGCTTGGCTGCTAACCAAATGGTGGTGGTTCTAACTCACCCAGCAGCTCCGTGAGTGAAAGACCTGCTGATCTGTTTCCATAAAGATTACAGCCAAGAAAGCCCTATGGGGTGGTTTTAGTCTGTCACATGGGGTTGCTACGAGTCAAAAATTGGGACAGCACCTAACAAGCACAGAGAAGAAAGCACAAGTGGAGGAGAAAACACAAGTCATGTGAAGAATGTCAATAAACCGAGGAACAGAAGCTGAAAAGACACAAAAACTGTCATCAGAACCAAGAGATAGAAAGCCTGTCCCTAGAGACAGCGCCCTGAACTTGGTTTCGACTCATAGCCTATGTACAACAAAATCAAATACTGCCTGGTCCTGTGCCATACTCATGATCCTTTGAGTCCACTGCTGAAGCCACTGTGTCAATCTATCTTGTTGAGGGTCTTCTTTTTTGCCAACCCTCTACCAAGCATGATGTCCTTCTCAAGAGACTGGTTCCTCCTGATAACATTCCCAAAGTACATGAGTCATAGTCTTGCCACTCTTGTTTCTAAGGAGCATTCTGGCCGTACTTCTTCCAAGACAGATTTGTTCATTCTTCTGGCAGTCCATGGTATATTCAATACTCTTCACCAATAACTCAAAGGCATCAATTCTTCTCAGGTCTTCCCTATTCATTGTCCAGCTTTTGCATGCACAGGAGGTGACTGAAAATACCACGGCTTGGATCAGGTGCACCTTAGTCCTCAAAATGACAGCCTCACTTTGTAACACTTTAAAGAGGTCTTTTGCAGCAGACTTGCCTAATGCAACACAGTATTTGATTTCCTGACTAATGCTTCCATGGGCACTGATTGTGGAGCCAAATGAAATTAAATTCTTGACAACTTCAATCTTTTCTCCATTTGTCATGATGTTCTTATTGGTCCAGTTGTGAAGATTGTTTTATGTTGAGGTGTAATCCATACTGAAGGCTGTAATCTTCGATTTTCATCAGTAAATAACTTCAAGTCCTCTTCGCTTTCAGCAAGCAAGGTTGTGTCATTGGCATATTACAGGTTGTTAATGAGTCTTCCTCCAATTGTGATGCTGCGTTCTTATTCATATAGTCCAGCTTCTCGGATTATTGGCTCACCATACAGATTGACTAAGTATGGTGAAAGGATACAACCCCGACGTACACCTTTCCTGATTTTAAACCATGCATGAACGACTGTCTCTTGGTCTATGTACATATTCTTCATGAGCATAATTAAGTGTTCTGGAATTCTCATTCTTTGCAATGTTATCCATAATTTGTTATGATCCACACAGTCGAATACCTTTGTGTAGTCAATAAAATACAGGTAAACATCTTTCTGGTATTATCTGCTTCCAGCCAAGATCCATCTGACATCAGCAATGATGTCCCTGGTTTCACATCCTCTTCCGAACCCAGCTTGAATTTCTGGCAGTTCACTGTCTTTGTACTGCTGCAACCGTTTTTTAACAATCTTCAGCAAAATTTTACTTGCATGTAATATTGATATTGTTTGATAATTTCCACATTCTGCTGGATCACCTTTCTTTGGAATAGGCTAAATACGGATCTCTTCCAGTCAGTTGGCCAGATAGCTGTCTTCCAAATTTCTTGGCATAGACAAGTAAGCACTTCCAGTGTTGCACCCGTCTGTGGAAACATCTCAATTGGTATTCCGCCAATTCCTGGAGCCCTGTTTTTCACCATTCCCTTCAGTGCAGTTTGGACTTCTTCCTTCAGTGTCATCAGCTCTGGATCATATGTTACACCTCCTGAAATGGTTAAACGTCAACCAATTCTTTGGTATAGTGACTCTGTATTCTTTCCATCTTGTTTGGATGCTTCTTGCATCCATCAATATTTTGCCCATAGAATCTTTCAATACTGCAACTCAAGGCTTTAATTTTCTCTTCAGTTCTTGAGAAACGTCGAGTGTGTTCTTCCCTTTTGGTTTTCTAACTCCAGGTCTTTGCATATTTTATTATAATACTTTACTTTGTCTTCTCGAGCTGCCCTCTGAAATCTGATCAGCTCTTTCAACTTCATCATTTCTTCCATTTGCTTTAGCTACTCTACGTTCAAGTCCAAGTTTCAGAGTCTCTTCTGACATTCAGTTTGGTCTTTTTTTTCTTTCCTGTCTTTTTAATGATCTTCTACCTTCTTCATTTAGTCACCATAGTTTAATTAAATAATATCACTCCACCAACAACACGATGCAAATTTCAGTTAGCACGGTGTATTAACTGAGTACCTGCATAACGTAGAAACCTGGATTTTAAAGTCTTCAGTGCACAAATCACTACATTAATAACTATGCAAATAACAGTTCATGCAGATACAGCAAAACATGTAGATTTTTCTTTTTCTTTTCTGCTTAGGGCTCCCCTCCCCCCAGACTGTTTTTAAGAGCAGTTTTAGCTTTACAGAAAAATGTGAATTCTCATTTATCCCCTTCACCTGGATACTGTCTCTCCTATTAACATCTTTCATTCCTGTGGTACATTTGTTACAACTGATGAACCAACATCCAGACATTATTATTATCTAAAGTCCAAATTCACATTAGGGCTCACTCTTGGTGTTGTACTGTCTTGTAGGTTTTGGCAAATGCACGTCAGGTAACCACTATTACATACAGAATAGTTTTACTGGCCTAAAAATGCCCTGTGCTTCATCTATTAATCCCCTCCCCGCCCCGCAAGAATCCCTGGGAACCAATGACCTCTTCATTGTCTTTAGAATTTTGTGTTCTCCAGGATGCCATATAGTTGGAATTGTAATCGTACAGTTTGTATTTTTTTTAGACTGGCTTCTTTCACTAAGCAGTATGCATTTAAAGTTCCTCCATGGCTTTTTGTGGTTCGATAGTTCATTTCTTTTTATTACTAAATAATACTCCAATGTATGGATGTACCAGTTTGCCTATCCATTCACCTATTGAAAGACATCTTGGTTGTTCTCAATTTTTGATAAAGATGTTATAAATATTTGTGTGCAGCAAAGCATATAGCTCTTTTGCCTCCTTGTCTCTCAATGAAAAACTATGTGATATTTTACAAAAATGGATAATTGAAAGAGGGAACTGGCTAACAAAGATGAAAATGCAGGACAGAAATGAAAAGTGATAATGCTGGATGTGAAATATGAATGGCAATAAATTGACTTACAGAAGAAATGGCTGACTGAGGGAATGCTGGCACTGTCGCCATTAAACTCTAGATTTGCAGCCAGAGGAAGTTAGTGAAGGCAAACTTACACAGATAAGGAATGTGGTTATGATGAAAAGGATGAAGATGGCTGAGGGGAAGTGACGTCAGCAAAAAATTTCACTTTAAGGAAAATCTCCAAGGCGTTTCACAACATTAAAGGGACAAAGGAGAAAATGTTGGAAGCTGATCCAAACATAAAAAAACCCACTGCCGTCAAGTCAATTCTGACTCATAGCAACCCTACAGGACACAGCAGAACTGCCCCCTAGGGTTTCCAAGGAGCGGCTGGTGGATTCGAACTGCTGACCTTTTGGTTAGCAGTCGAGCTCTTAACCACTACACCACCAGGGCTCCCAACTTAAGAAAGAATATGCCAATTTGTCAAAGCATAGAAAAGGTGCTTGTTCCTTACCTTAAGCCTATGACAAGGAGGAGGCACTATTCAAACTACTCTTGATAAGGTTTTACAAAAAAATAAAACATTTTAATTCTCAATGTTCTCAACGTTTTAAAGTATACTATACTACATAAACATTAGTTTTACAACCAAAAATAAGTTTTAAATAAATTTAAAATAAATATTTTAAAATTTAAAATAAACTTTAATATCTTAAAAAATAACTTTTAAAGGTCATATGAAACAACTGTAATTTTTCCCACTGATTACTAAAACTGCTTTGCATATTTTCAGCTTGCACAGTCATTTTTATGGCCCTGCACTCCGATGTGGAGCTAGAACTGCCTGCATTGCTAACCACTGTTAAGAACAGAATCAGCAGCCTGTCTCTGTAATTTGCCAGTATAAGTAAAAACAGATGCAAATATTGCATTAACACAAAATCAATGGTAACAATTATTTAACATTTCAATAGTTTTCTCTATGAATACAGAAAAAAACATGGATAAATCAAAACTAGAAAATAAAATATCATTTATTTCTAGTGCTTTGTAATTAGAGTAGTTAAGGGCACAAGCCAATATAGGCAACTCACACCAAACAATGCCAGCAAGATCCAGTTTTTCTACCTACAGGAATGAACTGATTATCTAAAACTTTTGAAATGTCAAACAGATTTGGGAGACATGAAATAATAAAAGATCTCACCACATATTCCGCTACATTAAATCAAAGGTTATTACATGTTAGAATGGATGTCTCAAGTCATATCCCTCTCTCTCATTTCTCTCAACTCTTAGGCATTCTGAGTTATTTGTAAATAGATGTGGACATAAAGGAAAGCTGTGAAGGCACCATTTTTACATGGGGAATTCAACTAAAGTGACAAAGTCCTTTGCAACAGTGAAATATCTAAAAGTAAGTTTTCTGACTTAAGAGTGCAGCAAATGGATTGTGTGCAGGTAAAAAAAAAAAAAAAAAACTTGTGATTTTTCATGTATGAATTGCTATCTAAGTCTAGCATTCTCAGGTTACCTAGACTCAGCAATTAGGTCTTAAAAGCGTGTTAAATGTAAAGGCAAGTTATTAGCTTTTTTCCTTCCCTTGAAGTAACTAACTACTTCAAAGTATACTTCAATAAACTGTTATCATAGTATATTTGAAAGAACTCTAAAGTGGCAAGAAATCTGAGTTCTAGACATCCAGCATCCATTAGCTGTTTAACCTCAGAAAAGTCAGGTGACTATTTTAGGCCTCATATTATCTGCCAACTCAAGGGGACATCATTGGTATCATCTAAGGTTACAGTCAGGTATTGGAAAGTACTAAATAATAGCACTTTATATATACATAATGACATTGATCTAAAATAAATAGAAACAAAATATTTCCTACATTCTGTTATGCAGAATTTTTTCAGTAAATTAATTTTTTACCTTGGTAATTTTTTATACAGGAATCTCTTTAGGTCCTAAAAGAGAAAAATATTAAAAAACCATATTATAATAATATATCTTCCACCAGTTTTCTGGATACCATCCTATCCACATTTCAGGAACTTTAAATCATATTCATAACTGTGTTGTTTGTATTTTCTCTGATTTTGATATTTACTAATTGTGTGACTTGGAATAAGTTAATTAACCTTTTCTCTAAGCCTAAATTTCACTATTTGTAAAGTAAGGCTACTCATGGAGCCTATTTTATAAGATTGTTGTTAGGGTTTATTGAGAAAATGCATACAAAGTGATTAGCATACCTGGTAATGGGAAACAAAAATTACATCAGCTGTAAAATTAAGATTATACGTTTCATACTATTTTACATCCTGTTGCTATTGTTGTGTTCACTTGAGAATATATGATGACCATCTTTCCATATTTATAGATAAGATTTTCTAACACCACTTTTAATGATTCTCACATGATTAAAGATAAGCGACAACACACATAAAGTGTTTAAGCATGAAACATTAATTAAACCAAAATAACAAAACCAGTTGCCCTAGGGCTGATTCCGACCCATGGCAACCCCATGCGTTTTAGAGTAGAACTGTGCTCCATAAGGTTTCAATGGCTGATTTTCAGAAGTAGATTGCCAGGCCTTTCTTCCGAGGTGCCTCTGGGTGGAGCTGAACTACCAACCTTTCAGTTAGCAGTGAGCACATTAACTGTTCGCACCACCAGGGACTACTAAAACATAATTAGAACTAAAGAAATGGAAGATTATTTTATTTTGTCTCATTACACTCTCTCATCTGGGAAAATTGACAATCTAGGTTTCAATTATGACATCTATGTAGATGCATAAGATAGATAACTGTTCTTTGGAACCTCTAACCCCTGCAATTCTCTAAACCTGAATGTATCACTGCCAGCTTACCTTGCTCTCAACACACACACACACACACACACACAGAACTCATCCTGTGTCCCCCAGATTTCCTCAATTCTTCTTTTCTCCAGTAATGGCACTACCAATCTCTTGATTTTAGGTTTGAAACCTAGAGTACCATTTAACCCTAACTCACATGTGTCACTTTTAAATCACGTGTCAAATAAAATGTTTTTAAATTGATCTTTTCCTCTATTTTCCCACAGACACTGGTTTGTTTTTTTTTTTTTACTATTTATGACTTGCATTAGTCTCCCAACTGGTATCCTGGTCTCCCATTTCTTTCTAACCTTTCCTACACTGTGCCAATCATATTCTCCTTCTCTAACCCTTTATTGAAGTGGTTCTCAACCTTGCTATAGAAATCACTTGGAAAGCTTTGAAAATGTTGATGTCTGGGTTGGAGGTATTCCCTGGATAATTTCCTGTGCAGCCAAGGTCTGAATGGCTCCTCAGTGTCTACTGGATTATATACAAATTCTTTAGACATTTGAGGCTCTCTACAATATGGTGCAGATCTAATCTTAACAGTTCTGCTTCCTCATATATATCCTCAGCTTCAGCCAAGCTGGTCTACTCACAGTTTCTCCACACACACCTGTCCCTTCTTACCTCTCTGACTTTGTTTATGCTATTCATTCTACTAGAAATACTTTCCTCTTAACCTTTCAAAAAAAAAAAAAATGCTACTCATCCTTTAGAGCTAAATCTCAACCATCAAATACTCCAAATAGTCTTTTCTGATAGACAAAACCCATCTGTAATCCTTTCCTCCATTTAATTTTCACACTATTATGTATACATATCTATGATCACTTACCTTCTCTATTAATCGTAAAAACCCTTACAGAATTATGCCTTAATCATCTTTATTTTACCCATAGCCCTTATCATAGCAACTTCTGCAAGGCAGATGCTCAATATTTAGTAATTTGATTATGCCCGAAGAATAATTAAGGTCTCAAAACTATAATGGATAGCACTAAAAAAAAAAAAAAAAAAAGCAGGTGGTAAAGGCATAAAAAGTTCCTAAATCTTTGAAGAATATAATCCTGCAACCCAAAAAGAAAAACTGGATTTGTATTAACGTTGACCGATGTTGAATGACCATTTAGTGTGGTGGATAAGAGTATAGACTTTGGAGCCAGACTGTCTGCGCTGGTCTCTTGACTTCACCACTGTGTAACCTTGGTCAAGTTACTTGATCTTTTTGTGCCTCTGCATCTCCATCTATAAGACAGGAATAATAATACCTACCTTCTAAATACTGTTATAAAAATAAGGTAAATTAGTATATATTCAATGTTTGGAAGAATATTCAGCAAGATAACAACAGGATGTAAAATATAAACATTAGTATTAGTAATTCTCTGCACTTTCCAGTAACTAGTACAATTGAGTTCATAAACTTAGAATTTGGGTTTTACTGCTGTGCTAAAGAGGAACTTCAAATTTTTACAGTAATCCCAAGTGAGACAGCATCACTGCTTACTGGAAAATAAAGCATTCAGTGCACATGTCCTACTGACCACAAGGTGACTGGAAAGACTGCACACCGTCATTTAGAAGTTCAAACAGTAAATACATAGAGCTTCTCTTATGCTCACAGGATTAGGGTATGACAATACAATTTTCTCACCCTCAATCATCTTAGTAAGAGTCTCTCCTCAAACCCCATTCTAGGCAGAAACTCAGAACCCCACAAATCATTCATATCAGTCTCTCACTCCAGAGCCTAGAGGAAAAAATTGGGAGAGGGGACCTAAAACAAAAATCTCTACATGGGGAGTTCTACCTCTCCCCGCCCAGTAGCCAAACTCCCCACCCTCTCCTGTTTCATGTGTGGAAGTGGAAACTCACATCCGCCATGATGAACCCCCTTCTCCCGCAGGATCAATCTCCACGCCTGAAAGAGAAACCCCTGATGACTATCCCCTCGAAACTTCCTCGCCCTCTCCACCCCCGGCCAAAAGAGCGGGTTCAGCCCTCGTAGGGACCAGGGCCGACTCCGCGGCTCTAGGACTGGGCCAGGGAGGCCGAAGGAGTAGGAGTTCCCGGAGACCTCGACGGGTAGCCGGAATGCCTTACCTCAGCCCACTCCACCCCTCCCCCGCACCCCAGGTCTGGGCCCAAAGGCTAGGACAAGCGGTGCCCTCTCCTTCTCTTCTGATTCTCCCTCCAACAACCCTCCCTCGATATCCCCGGGCACAAGCCCATATGCCGGGCAAAGTGGCGCCAGTTACCTGGGTTTCTGCTCCCGGGAATGCCCGGGTTCTCTCTGCTGTCACTTCAGGGACAACCTCAGAGACAGGGTCCTCTGCAAACGGCCGTCACATGATGTGTGACCTCCTTTGCTCTCCAGGAAGCACTTCTTACGCCTCCGACGCCCGGTGACACAGGATTTCCGGGGTGGGTCGGCGGAAACTGAGCGCGCTGCCGCTCGCGCCGCCTCGCCCCGCCCCCGCACGGTCCCGCGCCGGCTCACTCACCTCGGACCTGAAGGATTTGGACTGTTGGAGAGGCGATTCTTAAAAAATTGCTGGGCCCGAAAGCCGCCAGAAAATGTATGCATGGTTTGTGCAAGAAGATGTTTTTGTGCGGAGAACGTACATAAATTTTATGTTTTTTAGGGTCGTTTACCTTAAAAAGCTCTTCTTGCAAATGAGTATATTGGAAGGGAGGGCGTTAACGAGCTGAACTGTAGGTATGAGATTGATTGCACGGGATTAGAAATTCCAGGTCTACAGATTTCTGATCCCCATTTCCTAGTCTCTTTGGGCTTTCCCATGGGTGCCACCCTACATACTCTTTGCTCAAGGTCTTGTCTAGATTGAATCGAAGAGCCGTGGGCTTTCCGGAGCGATCTGGGAGCCGCGTGAGCACCCCAAGCGTCGGCTTCTTTTAAGGTACGCACATATTGCACTACCTTTTCTCATTGGTTCTTGACATGTGGGATTGCCTTCTAAACATTGCCTGTAATATTTTTTGCTTGGTGCCTTGCTTGTTTGCACATTTAACAAAAAGTTAACAGTAGGTGGTAGGATTACAAAGTATGGTAAAGGGGGAAACCCTCTCTGATCACCTTAGCCCAGGGTTTCTCAGTCCCTGCACTCTTGGTATTTTGGGCTAGATACATCTTTGTTGTAGGGGGCTGTCGTGTGCCTATGCTCACTAGATGCCAGTCTAACCCCCTCCCATATCCTCACCCCCCACTCACTCACACTCTTGTAACAACCAAAAATCCCCTGGGGGGCAAAATCGCACCCAAGTTGAGAACACCGCCTTAGCGCCTCCTAGGAAAACTGAAGTTCATGGCTTTAGTTGCAGATTACCTTTGTTTTCATTTATTCAAAACCGGGTAGTGTATCTTGGAAAACAGATTTATGGAAACTTGTTTAGGACTGATCTTCATTTCCAGCCCCTGAAAGCAGGAGTGCAAAAGGAATTCCTGCAGCTATCCGTGACAGGAGGAAATCATAGAGTTCCCAGATGTCACAAATGAGCTACTGTAATATAATTTTTTAAAAATGCTGTCTAGACCGTTTTGAGGCCCTGGCTGAAGGCTAGTCCACCATTCCCCTTCTTGAGCAGCTGATGAAGTCCACTCTCCGGCCACTCCCTTTTTCAGGTTCTCACATTCCTGGGCCACTGTGCACCCATCCTAACTGCCCCAGGGCCAGGTTCCTAACAACTCAGGACAGCCCTCTAAGCCCCCTGAGCTAGCAGAATTATTCAAGAATGCCTGTTCCCCAGGAAGCCGGAAAAATCTAGCTAACCCTGCCCTGCTTGCCACACAGAAGCCCTTTCCTACAATTTGTTGTTAGTCTCTGGGTGCAACCCCACGTGGCCCTGCAACATGGCCTGTTGTGCCTCCCTGTCTCTAGGAACTGTGAGCATAATAAACCTAGTTACTTTTCAGGGTCTTGTTGACTCTTCTTTCCCTTGTCGCACCTGACTTACCATCCAAAAAACCTGTTTGAGCACCTACTAAGCATTACAAGTGAATTTGAGAGTTCCATAGCAGTTGACATCATTATAGATCACTTCCTTTTCGTTATTTAAAATCTTTGATTTCTAAGCTTCTGGGACACTGCATTATTTGTTTCAGGTCCCCACCCACTCCAGTCTCTAACTCTTCAGATGATGGCATTTCCTAAGCTTATCTTAGGTTCCTCTGCAATGTTCTCTTTCCCATGTTCTGAGAATGTGAGTCCTAAGTCTGCATCTTTCCTCTGAGTTCTAGATTCACATTCTCAGCTGCTTGCTGGATGTTGGATATTTCTACATACATACCTTACTGTCAGCTCTAACTCAAAAGCTCTAAAAAACTTTGTGTCTAATAAACCTGTCTCTGCTGATTTTTTATGTCTGTATTAGAACCATGATTCTACAAGTCAGGAATTATGTTTGGCTGCTCTCTTTTCTTATGTCTTTTCTTCCCTAACAATGACTTTTGCATCTATACTTTTGCTATTATTGATTCAGACCATATTTCTACTCAGCAAGACTATATCAATAGCCACTTAATAATTGCCAGGTAAACCTTCCTAAAACACTGATTATTACTGCCTGCTCAAAAAGTCTTTAGTGATGTACCATCGCAGACAAAGTTGACAGTCTTTAATCTGGCACTAACATATTCTGTTTTACTTCTAAATACATCTAATGTGAATCTTCTACTCTAGCCAAATTGATTACCTCATCCTTCCATCAACATGATTTGTACTTTCCCACACTGGTTCTGGAGGTTTATTTCATCTGGAAAGCTTATTTCTCTACCTTAGCTACTTAAATCTTGTTTCCCTAGAACATCTACCTCAAATACTACCTTCTTGCCCATCACATTCTCTTGAATGATGCTATATACTACCAATAATGATTGATATTAAACACAAACCTATCGCTAACCCTATAGGGCAGAGTAGAACTGCCCATAGGGTTTCCAAGGCTGTAAATCTTTACAGAAGCAGACTGCCACATCTTTCTCCGGAGCGGCAGGTGGGTCTGAACTGCTGACCTTTTGCAGCCAAGCACTTTAACCACTGTGCCCCCAGGGCTCCCTTCACAGCATACTGGTATTTATATATACAGTTAATAAACGCATTGCATATATTAAGAAACCAGAATTTAAAAAGTTGAGATCTTTGTTGTATATAACAGGTAAGAGAAGTTTAAGAGAAGCAGAAACAAAGGCTCTTACATCACCAATAAAGTTAGAAATAAAAGTATGACACTGTATTTCATTGATTCTTAGATGGATTTCCCCCTAACATGTTAACATCTCTGAAATCAAGATGTATCTTAAAATTGATTGCTTATTAGATCTGATGAAATACAATGATATTTTCCCTTATATTTGACGAGAAATGTGACGGAATTTATTAACTTTCCATAGCCTGTATTATATGGGATTAAGTAGACATGGTGATGAACACAATGTAGGAGATGGGGATCAAAGGCAGTGGGAAAGTACACAAGGTCTAAAGAAAAGACTGTAGTGGTTGGTTTCTAGGCATCATGACGCCAGATTCCGGTTCTCCTCTTCCAAATTTTATCCCTTAAATTTTCTAGATATGCCAATCATCGCTCAGGAGAGAAAAAGTTAAATGTTTTATTTGAATAACAAGAAGCTCTTCAAATTATGTAAAATACTACTACTGCTACCAAAACTAAAACCAAACCTGTTGCCATCAAGTCGATTCTGACTCATAGTGACCCTAAAGGACACAGTAGAACTGTCCCACAGGGCTTCCAAGGAGCGGCTGGTGGATTCGAACTTCCGGCCTTTTGGTTAGCAGCCAAGTGCTTACTGCACCACCAGGGCTCCAAATTTTAAAAATCCTTAGTATTTTTGCAATAGCAACTTTCAAAATAATAAAACTCACAAATACTGAGAAGTAACTCATAAGTCAACTATATCATAATTCTACATATGTTGGGTTCTTCTTCATTTTCAGTATGAAATATTGTTTGGAATAAAGAAGTCAGTAACGGGTTTGGTTTTGGTTTATCTGCTTTAAGACTGTATTTTAACATATCCATTCTAAATGGGGGCATATCTGTAATAATACCATAACAGGACATACAGATGGAAAATAACTGACATGGAAGTATGAGGAATAAGAAACAAGTTATAATTCTAAGCAGACATATAGCTAATTTGCAATACAAAGTATGTCCTTTGAAATGTGCTTCAAAAAATGCTGTTATCTTTGTACATGGGATCAAACTAAGGAATTTATTATATGTTAAAAAGCAATGTAACTATGAACTAGAACCCCAGTTCCACTTTTCTCTTTAAAACCAACCAACCTTTAAAACTACACATAGCTGTCATTAAGAACAATATATATAAAATAAACAAACCAAAAGTAGTATTTTGGTTTTGAACACTTAGGAACACTTTCAGATGCAAAAGAAATTCTCTTAATTGGA